AGTGGCTCTTGCAGGGGGAGCTGGGTGTGTTTTGTCTTTGGAACCCAGGCAGTCTGGCCCACGGTGTCACTTGAAATCTGGCTCTGCACAATCTGCCACCCTGCTAACTCCCCCAACAGCCCAAACACATCCTGCCTGTGGAACAGCCCCTCTAACTCATCCCCTAAATGACAATTCCTGATTCATGCCAGCCCAGTTTAGTGTTCTCAGTACTTTGCAGGGGTTTCCCAGGCAGCTCCATTCTCTGAAGTGCAAACAGTCACCCCCAAGGTAATTTTGGCATTTAAATTAAACCACACAGTAGCTGTGAGCATTTTTTTGCCCATTTCCAGACAACTGTAGTCAAAGCCAGTACAGCAACTCTGTGTCCTGTAAAGATCCCACACAAGAGAATGGGATAACCAACTCTTCAGCCAGTGGATTAACAGATTGTGAAAAGCCCGTCTCTAAAATTCACCACAAGCATTTCTAATGATCCATGGACTGATTTTTATTGAGTTTCCCACAAAGGTGAATTAGTGTCTTTCACTATGGCAACGGCAATAAAAGGATGTAGAATGAGTCCAAAAGGTCCTGGCTGCTGGGGAAATTGGTTGACATTCTGCAGGCCTATTCAAGCAGGAAAGGGTTTCACTATGTGCTCTTCCCCCAGGTTGGTGGCTCCCATCACGTGTTCCCCTTCAGCCCACAGCCAGGGATGGGACAGGAAGAGTCCATCTCAGAATCACAGAACTGGAGAATAACTGAGGTGGGAAGGGAGGACTTTGAGGTCAGCTCCCTGTTATCCAAACATTTCCACTCAGTGGTTTTCATTCATAAAAATTCTCTTGCAATTTGTCCTTGAGCTTGCCCTTATCTCTCATTTCCTTGACAGAGCAAGTCCTTGCTGGGCTTTACCCTGCAGCACCCACAGTGCTTACAGTCCCTTCATGGAATCACAGAATCACTAAGGTTAGAAAAGCCCCCTAAGATCATCGAGTCCCTCCATCAACCCAGCACTGCCAAGGCCCCCACAAACCCACGTCCCCAAGTGCCACATCCACACAGCTTTTAAATCCCCCCAGGGATGGGGACTCCAGCACTGCCCTGGGTAGATGTGGCAGAGCTGGACAACCTTTCTGTGAAGAGTTTTTTCCTAATATCCAATCTAAACCTCCCCTGGCCCAGCCTGAGGCTGTTCCCTCTCCTCCTGTCCCTGTTCCCTGTGAGCAGAGCCCGACCCCCCCAGCTGTCCCCTCCTGGCAGGGAGCTGTGCAGAGCCAGAAATTCCCCCTGAGCCTCCTTTTCTCCAGGCTGAGCCCCTTCCCAACTCCCTCAGCTGCTCCTGGGGCTCCAGACCCTTCCCCAGCTCCATTCCCTGCCCTGGACACACTCCAGCCCCTCCATGGCCTTGCCTGAGGATGTCAGAGCTCCTGGTGGGGCTGATTAAATATCATCCCCCGTTTTTTCAGGAGGAGGAATAGTGCATCTGAAGGATTAAGTGGCTCAGCACATTCCTGGTGTCAGGCTAGGTCTGAACACAGCACAGTGGAGTTCACACCAGCTCTGAGGAGCCCTCGCTGCCAGCAGGGAATCCAAGCTGCTCCATCAGAGCAAACACCAGCAGTGAGCAGGGAGCAGGGCAGGGAGAAGGAACTGTGAGGAGAAGCTTGAGGTCACAGCCTGAGAGCCCAAATCAATAAAAATAAACAGTAATCTTCCCCCAAGGAAATGTTCTGTACCTTTCAATCTTGTTTTGTCTGGAGCTGATCTAAGCAGAGGGGAAAGGCATTGACTTCTATTACTTTTATTTACTGAAACACTCTGGGTACTGTCTTAGCACCGACTTCATCTTACCTTGCTTGAAATCCTTCCCGTTTGATAAATGATTTGTGAAGTGGTCCAGCATCACTTCTTCCTCCTACAGCACTATCAATAGAACATGCTCTTAAAGCACAGATCCCCCAAACAGCAGGGGAAGAAAACCTTTCAGGATAGCAGCTGCACTCTGCATATGTGCTGTGTTTATGGAAAGAGTAAACATGAAAAACAGACACATTTGGTTTTAATTCGCTTTGACTGACCCAAGGAGTCCTCCCCAGAGATAATACTCAGGTCAGCACATAAATTTTCAAGTAAGCATGCATGATTTTCACTGCATGTTCAAAAAGCCAGAAAGATGAGTGGGGAAGGATTTCTGAGTGAAGACACTGACACAAAAGTGCTTTTATTTGTGGGCTAACTCAGCAGCCATTGCGGCAGCACTCGCCATGGCACAGCCCAGCCCGTGTGAAACCTGCTCCTGTAGGCAGAAGTACTTCGTGTCACCAGAGGAAAGAGCCAGAGGCTCAAACACAACACATGGAATAATCTGCTACCCTGCAAAGAGCCTCACTGCAGCCAGCAGATGAAATCACGGGCTCAGATATCATTCAACACCGCTATCGCAACTTGATCCGCGATTACAGCTTCTGGGAAAATGTTCCCACTTCTCCCACCCAGCCAATTTTGAGGCGAGCTGAAGGCACTTTGTCACAGAAGAGCAAATTTTATATTACTTTTATTTTATATTAGTCCTTCGTAGCAACAAAAATCTGGAAGCAGATGCCAGAACACGGTCCTTTTAATTATAACCAAAATGTTGTAATGTTTTACATCCTCTGCTGCAAGGCTGGACCACACTGTGGTGTCCTGGCTCTGGTGGAGTCCACCTCATCAAAACATTCCTCGTGGGCTTTGCCTTAAGCATCTGTTTATGTGTTCTGCTGAGCCCAAGTCCTGCAAGGCAACTTTTGTTGCTAATGGTGACAATTTCAGTGCTTTTTTAAAAGGAGCTTACGTGGCTCCCAATTCGAATCCCTTACCGTGCTTTGAAATTTGAAAAATCCCAAATTCACCTCTAACAGAGATTGTAGCTGGAAGCACAGGAGGACAGCCCTGATGGCCACCAATTTATTGTAATTCTCCAAATTCAAGCCAACTGCTCTCAGTATTATTCCACTGAGGAGGTGATATTGATGAAACTCAGCCAAATATGAGGGCAAAATCCCTTTTTTCAATTAGATTTTGTTTTTAACATCTCCAAAACAGAGTTCCACCGTGCGACAACATCTTGAATTAATTGAGCTATGGGCAATCCTCGTTCTTTTTTGTGTACTATGAAATGTAGGAAACACAGATGCTGTCTGTTTAAACTGTCAAACAAGTTTCCTGATGGTAGCTCTCGTGTCTGCTACAGACTTGTTGGTTTAACAAATGTTGTGAATGCAAAGCTGGAACATGTGTGTAAAATATTCCAAGCTACAAACGTCGGAACCATCAGAAACTCGGTGAAGGTTTGTACCAACCCTAACAGCTCTGGATTTTACCATCTTCTGTTTCAAACACAACCCCACTGTGAAAAACCACGTCACCAAAACAGGAGACTTGCACAGAACTGCAGGCAGCTAAGGAAATAGTTGGCACATAAAAAGCCTTTCATTTTTCTTAGTTCAATTTAACACCAAAAACAATACTGCAGGTAATTTATGGCCCTCCTTACTACTACACTTCTTGAAAAACAGGAGGATTAACTCGGTGAGATCATGGTGAAATCTCAGATAATGCATCTAATGGCCAGATACCATCTTTCCACACACATTTCCACAGGTGGAATTGTCGAGCAGCGTGCCAAGCATGAGCTCTCCACGGACCTGACACACCAAAGGGACAGTGCAGGTGTGCAGGAAAAGGAAAAGGGACAAGGCCATGGGTGAAAACTCTCAGAAAGGGGTGAAATCACGAGAGATGGTTATTCTACTGAGCCTGTGATGTCAGAGGTAACACAAGAAAAACCATTGAGCTTATAAATTCATGTTCCACCTTAACTTCAACATTTTTTTGGAGGACAAGTGTTTACAGCTTGGCTGTAGTGCGTGGCTATGTCTCAATCCAGAGGATTTTTATTTCCAGTAAAAACAAGATGTATAGACAATTATTAGCTGTATTTTTAGTACCAACAGAAGGTTCAGGAGATTGTAAACCTGATTTTACTTACTATAAAATACAATAATGAACATTGGTACAGAGAGGTCTGGGAAGAATCCCAGATGTTGGCTGGAAGAGGAACTGGGGAACCTCTTTCTTTGTATGTCAGAGTCAAAGTTCTTATTAAATATCCAACTGTTAATGTCAGAATTGAACTTTTGATTAAATACCCAGCTATTTCTACACATCACCAGTGACTGCAGGGCTTCTAATGAGGATGGACTGCTGGCTTTTAAAGCCACATTTTCACTTCTGCTTGATGCAGAGTAAGACAAAATAAACATGCTCAGTGGAGCCCATTCACGAGGAGTCTGAAGGCCAGATATGGGTGTATTTGACCTCACTTTTAAGAAAAGTGGAGTCACTTCTAAAGGCCTCAACAAAAACAGAAGGGGAGGAAACCACTCCCACTCAGCAGCCTGGATTTTAATCTCTTACCTGGCACAGGGTGACACTCAGGGAGCGCTGTTCAGCGACGTTGAGATGTTGGGAGACTTCAAAGCACTTCCAAGAACCAGAAAATTAAAAAATAAGGTGCTCATGGGGAGAGTCATGACATTGAGAAGCTGCAGCTCCCAGGCATTTTGGATCAATGTACAGAGCGCTGCTCATGGGGCTCTAATGAAACAATTACAGCCCTCCTGCTGATTGCCTTTGCTTTGTCCCACGAATCAATAGATTATCCACTGTAAATGTCAACGTGTTCCTGCTCTCCCAGGTCACTCTGCAAGGCAGCACTTGGCTGAATGTGCTCCTGAACTCCTGGCACAGATAAATGCCTCCATTTCTGAGAAGTCCACAGAACTGGAAGATGCTCGTATGTGCAGAATGAAAACCGAGGGCACAACAATGAAAAAGAAACACAAAGGAAGTGTGGATGGAGAAGCAGCTGTTTAAAAGCATCAGGATTTTCAGGCATACAAAGTGCATTCCTCTCTGCATGTGGGAGGTGTATTTTGACAACTTCACTCCTTTGGACTGACTGGTGTTTTTTTAGGACAGTTCTGTCTTTTCAGGAATGTCCATTTTTAATTTTAGCAAATCTCATTTTTCTATTTAATTGTTCTACTTTTCCCCCCAAAGTGTATAATACTATTTTATTTTACAATCCAAGGCAGTAAAAGAAAAATATAGATTTAATGTATTAAAATCTGACACAAAGAAGATGCAGACGCTCCAATTTCATCACACTGCACTGGATTCCTGGAATATATCCATCCCAGTAAACTGGGCGAATAGAGGATGAAAACTCCCTGAAGACAGGAGGTTTGAGAGGATCACCTGGGTTGATTTGAGGTGAGGGGTGTCAGGAATGATCCAAGGCCAGGCTGGATGGGGCTCTGGGCTGCCTGGTCTCGTGGCAGATATCCCTGCCCAGGAAAAGCAGTTTTTCACTCCTTTTACCACAGCCACCTTAGGAAGGAGAATGTTCAACACATCTGGGATTTTATGGACTGCAAAAATTTCAGAGATGAGGACAATCTCAATTTGAGGACACACATAGCAGCTGCTGACAGGCCTCCTCCAGGTTTCTGGGTAATGTATTTGTGTGAAAAATAATAATTAATTTCAAATTGGGAACCTTGCTTTTTCAGCTGATGTGTCTTTGCTTTCACCTTGGGCAACAGAGACAAAACAAATGGGTTGCAGAGCCCTTGGCAATGAAGTGTTGCAGTCTCCTGACCTCTTATTTCACTATTAGAAAACTTATTTTGACATCATTCTGTGGCAGAGGTGAGAAAGGAATCCTGGTATCAAAATAAGGTTAAGAATGAAAGAGGGATATGGAGAAAGCAGACAAACAATGCACATGAGATGTTATGAATGTCCTGCACATTTGGTTGGAGCATGGAAAGGAGCAGCACCAGAAGCATTTGGGGACAGGTAAATCTGCCAGCTGACCCCTCTGTAATTGTCCTATGGATCTTCATTTCAGTAATTTACTGGTAGTATAACACATCTAATAAATTCAGTGTTATAAAATCAAGACTATTCGTCTTGAAACAGCTTTTAATCCTGATTTTTAACAAATTTGTGCTTAACTGAAACACCACTGAACTTTGTCAACCCCACCTGACAATTATTTTTTTTATAGACCCCAATTAAAAGCAGAGTAAAAAATTAGAGTGAGATGTTAATAAAAGAGACTCAGAAAATTTGGATATTCAGACAATAAATAACTTAAATGCTGCAATGACCTGTGCAGGCTGGAAATGCCATCTGGTGGTTGCAGGTTCAGAGCAGTTAAGGAGAGAAAAATTCTGTCTGCTGGGACAGTGAGGGTTGGAGCTCCACCATATTTTACTGAAGTGTGATAAATAAACAGCAAAGAGGGATCTCTGTTAAACAGAGAAATCAGGTAGAATAGTGATTATAATTTTGAAAAAGTAACATTGATTTGCCAATGTAAAACACTGAAATAATTATTGCTTCTATTACTGGAGCAGCTGGCACTAGGGCAAACACTAAAGAAGTGGATCAGTGGGACAATACTTAAGAAAGCTCAATAAATTATCTTAAAAACACACATTTTGGAAATAGGGATTTGTTAGTTTAGAAAAAACACAGCAGGTTGAGATGGCAACAGTCTCCAAAAAGGTCTGGTGCTGCTGCAAAGAGGAACCTCAGTGCTGGACTGAACCTGCATGGGCAGGACCCACCAAAGCAGGGTCACTTGCAACCAAAAGCATGAAAATTAGACAGAGGATATAAAAAACTTTCAGTATTTCAGTATTTACTGCACAGAATCAGTCCAAGGAGCTTTGTTAGAGATGAATGCACACAGTGAGGGATGCTCTTGGGGTAGTGGATGTGTCCTTGCTCTGCTCCAGCCTGGAGGAGACAGGAGAGAAGCAACAAACACTTTTTGAAAGTCCCATTCAGCCTCCACTTTCCTGCTCCTGTGCAGACATGGAGTGAGAATTCCAAGAGAATTCATGTGATTTCATTCCTCAGCTCAAGCTTTCTGCACTGCCCTTCATTTCTTTTTCTGCTCTACAATGCCCCATTGATTCTTCCTGGACAATGACAATCAGATGTCACAGACAAAGGGAAATGAATGAAATCTGACACATTTATTTAAGCCTGCAGCGGACTAAATTATAAATAAATCCTGCTTTTTCTGCAGCACAAAGGTTGCAGACTGACTGTCCCTGTGGACTCTGCTCTCTTCTCACTACTTAACAGACTTTCCAACACTTTCTTTTGTCCTGATAGCAATCTCTCAGCAGGACTTTTGGCAGACGCATGTATTATGTGTCAAAAGTGAAGTGGAAATAACTGATGGGAAGCACAAAAATCTGATGGGAATAGTTATAATAAGGAAATGAATAAACATCAAAACAGTAAAACATAACCAGAAAGAATACAGCCAGAAAGCTGCTGAGCTGCTACTTGTCTGAGATGAGCAGTAAGGCCATTTCCAGAGTTAAGATTGTACTGTATCAATACAGAGAGCATTAACACATGCTGAACTTAGGCTCACATGTTAATTTAGTTTCCATTCTTATTTTAATGCTGTTAGAAAACAAAGCTCTCATGAGATGAGCTTTACATGCACTATAAAATGCATACAGTAGATTAATTTCTAGAACACTTTTATTTAGAAACCAACTGACCACAATTAGCCACATTTAAGAAGAGTTACTATTGTACATCTGCTCCTACAATCCATCACTTCAATTAACTTAAAAACCCCAAATCATTTCGCAAGAGCAAAAGTAATTCAGCATTTTGCACCCAGTCTGTGTGACTGAAGGTACAGCTTTATAAATATATCGGTACAAGATTTGGCTACACTGCTTTGGGAAATGCTGATGATTCCCTGAAAAGTGATGATTTCTGCCCTAAAAAATTGCTTTCACCTTTCCAGACTCTTCCTGTAGCAAGGCTGGGACAGAAGAAGAAAAGAGACATTAAGGCTTGAGTGGAGATGGAGAGTCAGATCAGGACAGCACATAACACATGTCTGGAGGATTATCTGGGACAACCAGGATGAGAAGGAGTTCACAAACATGTGGCTGATCAGCCTGGAGCTTCCACCTGTCAAAGGAATCCACAGAACCTCAAACAGACTGATGGATGGATGTAAACTCCACAGGAGCAATGGAACAGACAAAGCCCCACCAACATTTCAAGCCATTCTGGTGCTGGGCTTTGAGAAAAGTCTTGTTCAGGAATCCAGAATTAGCTGGAATTCTGCCTCATTCAGAAAATGATGGTTTGGTTATCTTTATACACACAACCCAGATTTCTGTGTTGCTGGTTTGCCTCCTTAATTCAGAGACATGTTTTTGTTCAACCAAGCTCAAATAAATAGCTAGACCTGTCTAGTCTCCATTTCTGAAAAGTCTCTTCATCTTATTTTGCTCCACTCAGAAAAGAAGTATCAAGTATATTTCGTGCAATCTCTTCATTAATCTGACCGGCTGGAACTAAAAGTTAGTTCTAAAACAGGTCATGTGTTTTGAACATGATTTTAAACTTGCAGGCCTCCCTTCTAATCACTGCTTCCCTTTGATGTATTCTTTGATTTTGCTGTTCACTGGACGCTTGGTCAATCTCCAGGATAATGAAATTCCTACACACTAATTCAGAAATCACATTCAGAGCTATTAATTCTTATAATAATTCACAGAGACTGGAAATAACTTTATTTTCTACACTTGCAAGTCAAACAGGCCTGCTAAAAAGCAATTACAAACTCAACATGCAGGTTCTTGAATTTACTGACACGTGTTGATGCTGGACATGTGTAAGCTTCCCACTTTTTTCCAATTAAAACAAAAAATGGCATTTTTTAGCACTGGTCACAACTCTGCACTTTCTTAGCACTGTTTTATGCTCATTTACCAACAGATGACAGAACAAGGCAACCTTACATTGGAGATTGACTCTCACAAACCAGCTACACAAAAAAAAAAAAAAACAAAGAAACTTTTATAAAATAGTTTGTGCTCAGTTAAATCTCTCTAAATTCAATAATCATCAATGACAATATATTAAATAATATTGTAATAGTGGTGAATTTTCAGCTCCACTGAAGTCAGGTAAAATTTACAGAACTTCATCCTCACCCTCTGTCCCTCTTCCAAAAGCAGGGATAGAGGTATCAGTCCTCAAACATACTGCAGCAGTTTCTTTCTAAAATAACACTAAAGTGAGTCAGATCTCAGCAAACCACAGGAGATGAACTCAGTTTCTGAGTTAATCTCAGTGTCGCCTGGTTTTGCCTTTTAATATAAATCCATATTTGAGTTGAGTACGAGCCAGGAGCCCGCTCTGCCCTGGTGCTGCAGCCCCAGAGGAGGTCAGAAAGTGAAAGCACCATTTCAGACTCACAGGAAATGGTCATTTACCTCCAGCGCTCACACTAAGGACAACTTCAAGCTGTGCTCAGCTTTCAGGTTTGTACTTCTCTCACTTTCCTTTAACTGCAGTCCTTAAAAGCTCCCCAAGAGAAAGAGCATCAGATAAAAGCCTAATCCAAGGCATATCAGTAACAAACACAGGCACAAAGAGATGGAGCTCTCCAGGAACTCTCAGTGGGGACATTAAGTCTGCTCCCTTGAAATTTAACAGAAAGTTTAACTTCTCCAGGAGCTCAGCAAGGCTGTCATTAAATGGCTTTGATAACCTTTAAGATTTTGCAATTCATAGTGAAATTCCTCCGTGCCTGTTAACCAATTTTATATCACGTAAGAAGGTTTTCTCATTTATTCTGGTTGCAAGCCATATGGGCATCACCGCTTTTCAGCACATTGTGTAGGCAGAAAATGTTACACTGTTTGACAGAGTGGTATAAGTATTTTCTTCACAGAAAGGAATTCTTCATAATAATCTTCATGAGGATTATTTAGTGGTTCTCCCCATGGCAGGAGGCTGAGGTAAGGCATGGACAAACTACAAGATACAGTGCAAAGAAACTTCTCAGTACCAGGCAACAGATAAACACATACCAGATATGATGCTGACGTGAATGACTACTTCTGCTGCAGATTGGGAGTAGATCAATACTATACAGCCCAATTAATAAAACATAAAATGACTTTTTAAAGTTGCTATTGATGCTTACTATCAATAATATTACAATATACACTAATTCCATATCAAACAGATATGGAAAAACAAAGTTATATCTGCATTGCACTTGATTCCCCAAGTTCTTACGTCTGCTCCACATAAAAATTAATGATTAATAATATTGGCCAAGTGTTTAAAATTAGATCAATGGATCCATGAATGTCAGGAGATGTAATCCTTAGAGGGTAAAACTGAATTTGTTTCCTTGCTGGGGGAAAACCACCCACATATCCTTGAATAAGAATCTTTGTTAAAGGCTAACAGGAAACTCCAAGTTGATTCAAGGTAAATACCAGCCCCTGTTATCCATGAAGATAAGAAACACAAATGCACTGGTAATGTTACAATGTTGTAATACATTACTGAATTATACAACAGTGTTATTTCCCCAAATTCCTCCAACTTATATGACTTAATAGGGACACAGACAACGTTCATCTACGAGATAATAAAGTGCTTTCATAAAGGATCACAACTTCCTGTGTTTCCAACAAAAGTATTTACTATAATGTTATTAAAGATGTTAACCCGTGAGCTGCTGCACCAGAAACAAAACAGTCAGTAAAAAAGCTGGAATATGGTATTGAAGTCTTCCTGTACAATTGTGCAGAAAAAAAAAGCACCTGCAACAAAACCCAGCAGTAGTACCTTATGTCTCTTTTTTGTTAGCATAGTTCTGAAATGTGCACCGAGAGCTGCAGGATAAACCTCCCCAGCTCTATTTCACATTAGCCATTGAATTACCCACTCTTGTTAGACAAAGGATAAGGCTTATACCAAAAACCACTGTGCCACTTGGCTGCATATCTTTGGTATATTTATAGTGCAACTGTTCTGCTTCTTCTCTGAAGGGGAAAGTTTTCCAAAGCACTGCATCCCCTGCCACTGAGAACCTACCTCAAACTCCTACACTCACTAGGACCTCTGACACCAACTTACTGCTTTAAACAAATGCAGAATGTGCAGTGAAAATAATTTCTTCCTGTTTTTCTAAACGTACTGCTGAAATAAAATTGCATCATGCTGGAAAGTAGTAGCACGTTTCAGTTCTCTTGCAAGATTTTAGGAGCATACAAATGCAAGCACAAATTTCACAGCAACTTTTAACAACTGGATAGATATCCAAGGTGCTATTTGAAAATATCTGTAATTTAATGATTCTTATTCTAGATTTAATCAACCTTCATCTCTACAAAAAAAGAAAAAAAAAAAAAGACACCTGTTTTACATTTTGCTTAGATACTTAGAATTATTCATAATGCATAGAAAGGCTAGAACTACTTAATTAAAATATACTGCAAGCGTGTTTTTCTAGACTGGTATTGCTAAAGCCTTGCTGTACTGTAAGATTGACTGGAGTTGGCCTTGACACACAGTACCATGTATTGACACAAGCCTGGCTATATAGCTGTGCTTCAGCCTGTCTCAGTGGGCACAGCAGCACACAGCTATGGTACAGATCACCCAGTGGCAGTGCAATGAAATGGAGCGCCATTGAAAGGCCATCTCATGGGATTTCAGCTCCTGAACAAGAGCATTCTCTCTGAACAGCTCTGTCCCACCAGGCTGGCGTACTGCTGAACGCTGGCCTCGTCACTCGGCCCCTTCCTCCTCTTCTTGTACACGCTGTAAGGCATCACGGTTCTCTTGTGGAGCACTCTCACCCTGCCCAGCTCCTTCAGGCGACCTTCATCCTCTGCAGAGGCAATCACAGAACACAAAACCCAGTTATTTATAGTGTCCACGTCGCCTTAATTTATGCCTCTAACTTCGATATGCATAATGAAAACAGCATGAAGTAAGAAAACTCATCTGTAGATGAAAGCTGAGCTGCAGAGCGTTCTTGAATCATGGCTGGGAATAAAACCCAGCCTGCAAAGGAACTGTGTATGCAAAGTGTGGAAAGGTAAATCGTGCATCACACGTTTCTAATGGTGATGGATGGCATTTCTGAAAACACTTCTACTGCTGTATTTAAAAATTCACATCCATTTAGTGCTCCTGGAGCCAGAAGTCAAACTCTGGGAAAGAGTCAAACAGAACTGACCAGGAGAGACTTGTCATTACAGAACCCCTTGCAAAACCCATCACATCAGCTGGGACAAATGTATTAAAACCAGCAAGAAGCCTCCAGCAGGCTGTTTCCTTAGGTCAGCATCAGGCAATAAACCAAATTCCCAGGTGAAATTCCCTGGCTCTCCAGCCCCAGTCTGGTTTTCCCTCAGTTATACTGAGTTTCATTCTAGGGGTTACATGTCTGTCCCTTAAGTCTGATCCCTGAGCTCTGCAGATCAACAGGGGGAGCAGTGCAAGCACTCCCTGTGTGGGTACAACACAGTTCCTCTTCAAAGATACACACACCACAGTTAAACCTTATATCCTTCACATACAGACCCCTTGTGACTTAATTTATCCAGAATCATACACGTAAGAGTGTTGTTGAACAAGTTAAAACTTCCTTATTTTTATGAATCCCATTGATGCTCCTACTGCTGAACAATAATGTTATATGGCTGCTGTGTGTCAGAAAAATTTGCACTTCAGTGCTAGAAAACTCTTGAAAGAAACTCAGGGAATGTGCCACACATCTGAGGCCACTGCAGGATAAATTAGTAAAATTATTACAAAATAGTGGGAAAAGAAATCTTGGACATTTCTGAACTTTAGGTTCAAAAAGTCACCAAGAAGAGTCAACCCAGAATCCGAAACATGAGTCTGAGAACAGAACCATATAAATTCCAGAAATTATAACAGAGATGCTTACTGGAATGTCAGTATTTTGGGACATGAACTATGCAAAGACTTCCTTTTGAACATTCTTTCTGCTTTTAATTAATGCTTCTCTATGTTTTGAGGGAGGCCACGAAATGCTTTTCAGTGCAAGATATTCTGAAGAACCTGCCTCTGTTCATCCACAGAAATGGCCTATAAACTTTTTTCTGCTGATTGCCTGAATTTAGTATGTGAAACTTAATGAAGGCTGCTTTACCAAGTTTGGAATGACTTCATTACTTTTATCTGTGTTTGGATTCCTGACATGAAAGCACAATGTGTTTCTTAAGACTTAACTGGGAAAACTTGGTTTGAAGGAAGAAAATCTGAGTAGTACTTGCTAAGATTGTGCTCCCCACTAATTATTTTTGGCAATTGCTTTAGATAAACACCAAGTCAAAAACACTTTATGGCTTTCTCTCCCTCTTTGAAATCCATCAGGTTTTTGATGTGTGGCCAACACCTCCCTGATATCCCAATAGGTTGGTTTTACTACCAGCCCTTCTGCCTCTTCTGTTACATCCTCCTCCTTCCTGAGACCTCACCAAGGAAAAAATCTAAAAGTTTAGCTTCTGGAGGTGACTCAAGTGTAAAATTATTTTAACTTCTTAAATTGGAAAGTTTATATTTACTGCACCTCTAGACTGCCTCCCAGTCTGTGCCCTGAGATGGATTTAGGCCAAGCTGAGCCCTCACAGAGCCAAAAGCACTTTAGAGCTGTTCCCCACTCACTGATACTCATTGATTTCAAATACTCCCAAAGCCTGATACTCTGGCTGAGTTCATCTTCTGGCTTGCAGTGCTGCTGACCCCAGATCTGATTTCTTTGAGAGCTACTGTACCTTTGGTTTCACTGCAGCCTTCCTGTTCTTGCTGCTCAGTATTTGTGCCCTTCCTCCACTTTTACTCGCTGCCTCCTTGCAATGAAAAATAACATTCCAAATTGCTGCAATGATTACCTGTTCTTCCACTGACTCCCCTCAAAATCAAAGCTTTAATAACAAAAATAACCTTCTGTAGAAATACTTACATGTATGTAATTTAAACTCCATCTGTAAAAGAAACCTTTTACTGAGTTGTTAAGTATAAAGTAAAATAATCTCAGGTATCCAGTTAAGTTCTTAGAAATAGCAAATAGGAACTTGTGTCACCATCACAACAAATCTGAATGTCAAAACTCAGCCATCTTTCAGTTGCTGCTGGTCTAGAGGCAACATCATGGGTTTTCAGGAAACTACTCCCTTTAAACACAATTTAAATATAAGCAGAATAAATTGAAGCTAATTTAGTGGAAAACAAAAACAGTTTTGGCTCTGGCACACTTTAACAAAGAAGTTACTCTCCCAAGAAGAAAAATTAAGTATCTGCTCCTGTTGAGTGGCACATGGTAGAATTTGCTTTCTGTTCAAGATGATGCAACTGAATTCTAAGAGGCCTTCCCTGTGTGGCTGATGCTGGGATACAGCAGCAATCACAATTCAAAACAAGACCAAATGCTTCATTAAAAAAAAGTCCCTTGCTGAAAATAAGAAAAGAACATCCTTTAATTTCCAAGCTTTAGTGAAGAAATTTTATTCAGTGACTTCCATTTCTGGAAAGACCCTGACTGATCAGATAGTGGAACAGGTATGTTAGGGCAATTTTGGTCATTACTGTAATTCCTGAATACAGTACTGTTACCACTAAAAAGTTTTTTAAAAGTGCTTATGTTTTCCTCCTCACACTTTCTCATTTTTCACCCCCTGAGCTGTTGATTTATTGTAGTCTACAGAAGAGACACTGTCATTTGACATAAAGAATATACAAGGCTTCATCCCTTAATTCAGTTACATCTATCAAAATAGTCTGGATGGTAGATAGATACACAAAATACAGAGCAATCAATTATGTAAATTGAAAGTTCCTGTAATTTTAGGAAACTGGGCAACTGCAGCTGCCAACTGAAAATAGAAATATTATCCTGTCTCAGAGCTAAAAATACAGGTGAATTCTTGTTGAATGAATTACCTGTCACTTCTTTCTTTTCTCCTCTATACTCCTAAAGCATCAAATTATTTATGCTGCAGTTGTCTACTGAAATCTGAACGTAGGAGAGATTTCACTTCTAATTCAACCTTGCCACTGTGACCCCATAAAGAGTGCACAGAGGTGTTAAAATGTTCTGTTTCCAGCCCCATGCCACTGTTAAATGCACACATGGAGGATTTTCCTTCTGGAAACACAAAGTGGAACAGATACGTCGCTAAGTGCCAGCAGAAAAGAAAGCAAGGAGTGGGAGTCATCCAAAGCCTCTCCATGCAATGGGGTGTCTTGGCAGGCATGGTCTGAGCTCCTGACCTTCACCAAAAGTGCCCAAAGGCAGCCTCAGCCTGCAATCACCCAAAAAAGGGCTCCCACACTCCAGGGATGAGCAGGAATGTGAGGAGCAGGAAGCCCGACAAACTCCTGGACAATCCAGTCCTCATTTCTTTGCACAACCCAAATCAACCTCCTCCTAAAACTACAAGCTCCCTCCCAAGCCAAAACCTCATTTTCAAATGCTGATAAGCATTCCTGCTGAAATACCAGCATGAAATAAGGAGGAGTGATTTCACCTTTTTTATTCACAGCAACAGAAAGCTGGACAGCAGAGTGCTTTTTAAAGAAATCCAGAACTTGATGGTCAGGATCTTTTTCTTACAGCTCAGGGGTGAATTAACATTTTTCTAATTTATTTGGGGAAGCCCACATCCAAACATTTTTATTCTTCACGTGCATTAACCTTTATTATTATTATTATTCCCTAATACAAGCTGAAGTGAAAACCAGCTCCATCTGGGGAGAAAGCAGGGTAAGCACGTGCACAGCTGGACAAGTGAGACTTGGAGTGGAGAGTGAGCTCTGCAAGAGCCTGAGAGCCAACACCACGCTGGAAAAAGGGCAATGGCTCAAGGTTTCTGCAGAAAACTATCACTCAATCAGCTTTTTGCTGGTGGCTTAGTTGAGCTAAGCTGGTTTTGATCAACACTGATGTGGAAGGGCAGCCTGAGCTGCAGAATCCTGTGCTGCTCCTCTTTAGAGCCAGGGCACCTCTTCCATTGTCCCCTTGGACAGACTCCTCACAAAAATGACATTTTTTCATTTTCCAGGGTATAATCCAGAGATGGAAGCAATCTAACTTTCCTTTAAAGTGCTTTTTTCCACTTACAGGAAAACAAGTGAAGAAATAATTAAAAATAAAGTGACAAAATTATTGACTTTCCTATTTTCTAAATAGAAGAAAGGACAACTGCCAATTCCCAAAACAACCCACATTAGTCACAGGAAAATATTTCTTATATTTTCTCTACAGAATGGACTCAGAAGTAGTAAGAAACCACAAAAAGAAATGTGGTACTCCTGCTAAACTCTGAAATTATTCTGTTTCTGATCATAAGTTAAATTTTCTTTAAATGCTCCTTCAACTCCCTGGAATAATGAAAGTATTTGGCCATCATCACTTTGTAATTCTGTATCCATACGATGCAAGAGAACCTGGATTTTTTTCCCCCATCATAGCAAGGTAAAACACTGAAAGAAAGAAAAGGCAAAGAACCAACACTGATTCAAAAATTAAAATATTTAAACCTGTGTCACTAACTGAAATCTGTGATTCACTTTGAAAGCAGACACTGAAGGAAACTCACACTATAAATTAAATTTCCATTTTGCTTAAAAATGGAATCTCAAAAGAATTATTTTACCTCTAAGCATTAAATCCACAGAACAAAAAGTATGAAGATAAACACTTCACAACTGCTGCATTCCCAGCCCATGGATGTGCTGGGGTTTTGATTTTTTTTTATGTTGCTTGTGGTTTTAAATCTTTAATTTTGAAGGTTTTAAAGATGAACACAATGTTCCCATTTTTACAATCAAAGAAAAAAGTTTAAAAATTCCATTTAC